AACATTAAAATTAATGTTATTTTTTTATTTTTTATATAAATTAATACATAAAAAAATATATTTAATACCCCTTACCATTTGCCATTCATATCCGTCAGAAAATAAGATAGCAAATTGGAGTTCATCAATCAGCTCATAAATAATGATGTACCGAAGAAGGTCAAAAAAACTCTGTCCATATATAAAGGCCGCCGCCTTAATAGATTTTAGTTTCTTTCTTATCATTTATTCCTAACTTAAGCGTTTTTTTTTTTTTTTGGTAGAAATTCCTAACTGATGGTTTGGTTAGTAAAAAACAAGAAGTTTCAATCTCCATTCCTTACTTGGAATTTGATGTTTACTCCATCCATTTTTCAGGGATATGAAGTAAATGCGAGACCAACTCAAGCACTGAATGGAAGACCAGTATGGCTCTACACTCCGAGCAAGAACTAATAGTGATTGTGCATATGTCTATAGTAGTGTGTAAGAGAAACTGAACTATAAAAACGATTGCTTTAGCTGTCATGAAGCAACAATATGAATAATGTCTCCGAATGAGGCAAAAGCAATGATTTTTGTTTTGAGTCCCTTCAGTCTGGAGTCAGTCCCTTGATTTTTTTTTTTTGGTAAATGGAATCAGTCCCTCGATGATCATCTTGCGCGTGTATTGTCATCATATATGGAGATACGATAAATTTTACTAATCTTAATATTTTTATTTTCATCATATTAAATTATTTTTTAATATATATAAGAGTTAACTATTTAATATCATAACCAATGATTTACTGATCCGAGTGGAAAAAACTCAGTTTCTGTTAAGTAAAATTTCAAGTTTGAGTCTTATGAATAGAAAAACAGGTATTGGAAAAGCTTTTCTCCTAATAAGATCTAACGTGACTCAATTTCAGATTAATTAAAATCCAATGTGATTATCGGATACCAATAGGTTAATATCAAAAATATATATATACTTAATATCATAAAGATTTGAATCTTTTATCTTGATCTCAAATTAAAATTTTTAAATTAATAAATACAAATTCTATCAAATTTTCATTAGTTATCATATTAAATTATGAGAAAAATAAAAATGTTCTAGTACTTTAAATATAGAGATTCTATATAAAATTGTTTAAATATTTTTAATAAATCTTAAATCCTTTATATATATTAATTTATTAAAAATATTTTAATTTTTTCATCATTAATGCTAACATTTTAATTACCTATTCTCTTTAGTTCTTTAAATTATTAATCATAAAAGAAGCTAAATAACACTTAAGTTCTGTTGAGAAAAAACCAAAAAAAAAAAAAAAAAGAAGGCGCCCTTAAGACGGCAAAACTAGTTAATAAGAGTCAAACTTTCATGTTTTTACTAACAAGTAGCTGGACTTTCAATTTTCCTAACTAAGGAGTTTAATTTCTTAATCTTACCATCCAAGGCGTTCTTGAAAGTGAACTGCTGAGGTGGCTAACGGAGATGGTTTAGGGGGCCATGATTTGTCGATGTGTCAAGAAACCTTTTAATACATAACTGACATGGACTTAAATATGCTGACTAAGCATTCTTGAATGAAAATAATAATAATACTAATAATAATAATAATTTATGCCCAACAAGACAATGAATCTTTTTCATTAAACCCATGTGTTTCTTTCCTCAATCTCTCCTCTTTTTTAATTTTCTAGATTGTGCAGCTAGGGTTTTGCTTTGCATCCTCGTCTTTTATTTCTTCCTCTATTTTGTTTCTTACCAAATTTTTGTACTTGCAATTAGGGGTTATGTAAGAATCACAAGCAATTTTAGAAGAATTATCAAAAATAAGATTAATGGTAGAAATTTTTTAATCTGCACGCACACTCCACTAATTTCTAATCTTATTATCTAATGCAACTTGTTTTTCTAAAACTATCTGTGCATCTATAAGCACAGCTCTTCAATTAGCTTCTCTAAATCTTTTTGCTTGTTAGCATTTTTTTTATGAATTTAAAACTATCCGTAGATCTTTGGGAGTCCAAGTAGGAAATCCCTAAGAAGGAATGTCATAGACAACCTCCCTAGGTTCATATTCTCAAAAACTATTTTCTTGTGTAGCCATCCAGAAGAAAAATATTTACATTGTAAGATCTCCTGAAAACCCTATTTCGAGTGATCATGTAGCAAATATGGCTAAGTTTGGTAAAGTTGATTTTCCTAGCTACGATTTAACAAATAATTTTAGGGGATGCTTGTATAAATGTAATCAGTTCTTTAAGGCTCATAACATTTTTTATGAGCATAAGGTGGGAATTGCATCTATGTATCTGTGTGGAGATGTAATTGTGTGGCATGAGTGTTATTTGCAAGATTAGGTGACTTTTCTAGACTAGAGGAACTATATCTTTGATATGAGTTTGACATTTGAAGAGGGTGAGTTACAGGATCCCATCGTCTTATGGAAGAACCTTAATCAGACTGGTAGTGTAAGCAACTAGTAGAGGAATTTTGAAGGGATTAGAGCAAGGGTTAAGTGTTTTGAGAGACAATTTGTGGCTATGTTTGTGGGTGGCTTGAAGGAGAAGATCCAACATGTAGTAACCTATTATAACCCAAAATCTGTGCTGAATTAGAGGATAAGAAGCAGAAAGGGTTGTGCTTTTGATGTGATGAGAGATATGGTCCAAGGCACAAATGTAGCAAGAAGAAACTCTATAACTTGGAGATAATTTCCATAGATGAAGATGCTGGAAGTGTAGAAGTTAATGATGAGAATTTTGATCTTAATCAGATGCTTATCACAGAGCCACAGATCTCAATCCATGCATTGACTAGTGAGGTGGGTTATAATAATATTACGATGATAGGTCAAGTAGGCAAAAGGCAAATTTTGATACTAATTGATTTAGAAAGTACCCATAACTTCCTTAATGCTGCTGGCTAAGGAGCTAGGGTGTGAGATAAAGGGAACAAAGTCTTATCAAGTCACTTTGGCTAATGGTAGCAAGGTAATAAGGGTTGAGAAGTATGATAAGTTTGAATGGGAAGTCTAAAGGCATGTGTTTACTACTGAAGTGATGTTGATGCCATTGAGGGAATATGACCTTATTCTGGGAATATAGTGGCTAGAACCTCTTGACAAAGTCTTATGGGAATTTAAACTTAGAACTTTGCACTTCAAGTGTAATGGCCAATTAGTTCACATAAAGGTTACCCCTAAACGAACTGTCAAATGGGTTGAAAATGATAAGTTTCTACCCTTGTTGTTGAAGAAGGAGCAAGATCATAGAAGCAATTATTTTTGGTACGAGTGGTGTCAAGGGTTGACTTTGGATGGAGCCTTAATGCCACTGAGTTTGTTGAGAAACCTATGGGCTTGAGGAAATTGTTAGAGAAATTTTCAGATGTGTTTAAGGAACCTAAGTCATTACCTCCTTCTAGAAGCTTGGATCATTAGATTTATTTGAAGACGAGTATAAAAGCCCATTAATATCAAACCTTATAGGTACCCTTTTATCCAAAAGGATGCTATGGAACATACAGTGAGTGAAATGTTGCAGTTTGGTGTGATCAGAAATAGTACCAATTCTTTTTGTTCACTAATGGTAATGGTTAACAAGAAGGATGGTACCTAGAGGATGTGTATTAACTATAGGGAACTAAGTAAAGCTACCACGAAGGACAAGTTCCCTATGCTTGTGATTGAAGAATTGTTGGATGAGCTACATGGGGCCAAATATTTCTCCAAAATTGATTTGAGATCTAGTTATCACCAGATCAGGATGAAAGAAGCGAATATTTGCAAGATCACTTTTAGGACACACCAAGGGCATATAAATTTTTAGTGATGCTTTTTGGCATTACTAATACTCCTTCCACCTTTCAAGCAACAATGAATTATGCTTTTTAGCTGTATCTAAGGAAATATGTTCTAGTGTTTTTTTTATATATAATATATTAGCTTATAGCCACACTTGGGAACAACATTTACAGCACTTGTGGATTGTATTGGAAGTTTTAAGGCAGCATACATTTTTTACTACGTTAAGTAAGTATGCCTTTGGCGTGTAACAAATTGAGTATTTGGGCCATATTATATCTTCTCAAGGGGTAGCCACTAATCCAAATAAGATTGTAGCTCCAAATGAGTGGCCTGTGCTTCGAAATGTAAAGAAACTAAAAGGTTTTCTTAGGCTAACAGGGTATTACAGAAGATTTGTTAGAAATTATGGGTTGATTTCTAGATCTCTTACCAATTTACTCAAAAAGAATAGTTTCACTTAGGGGTAAGAAACACAGAAAGCCTTTGAAGAGTTGAAAGGGGCTATGACATCTACTCTAGTTTTAGCTTTACCCAATTCCAAGAGGAGTTTGTATTGAAACTGATCCATCTCGCAATGGTGTAAGTATAACACACCTCCCCTAAGTACTGTCAATCCCAAAAAGAGTTCGAAAATAAGAATTATATTAAAACATTGCAGTGAAAGTGGAAACACTTATATTATAAAATGTCTCCTTAAAAGAAAACTTACTTTTAAATCAATTTAAAAGTTTATAGAAAGAAAATCAAATACTTGTGAAGGAAAATTATTTTAATAAGAAAATATTTTAAGGAAATGCCAAAATACTCAAAGTTATAAAATAAGCTGAGTTAGGCTAATTTATAATTAATTTAAAGATTATGTATATAAAGGTAATTTACACAAAAATTATACAAGGCAAATTTCTTCTCCAAAACTTTTCAAAAGAACAAAAGTTGAGTCATGATGAAAGCATGAAAATGTATATCTAAAGTGTACTTAACCATGGACATTTGTGGAATTATGGGTTTAAGAGTTATATTTTTTTACAAATAATTTCATAATTGTTCACTCTATTCATGTTGTGCAAAATTTTGGTAATTAAAGTTTTGATGACTAAATGGAGAGAATTAGAAGAAAAAGGACTTAAATGCAAAGAGCTGAAAAGATGAGGATCTAAGGATAAATCAGAAGTTTAAAGGCTCAAGTGA